CACCTAGTGACTATATTCAATGTGCCGTCACTTAATTGCTTTCTCGATTTCATTAATTGACGATAGTAATTGCAGATAACAAGGAAGAGGAAATGCTGAAGACAAAACAACGTCGGGTCTTTGTGTGACTTTCACCCTCAACACTTTTTATGTTGCTGTCAAAGAAAAAGGAGTCTAGATAGCGATTATTTAAACCACTGCTGCTGCTTTTGCAGGTAGACTTCCTCGTTTATCATTTAAATGCTCCCCTCCCCTAGCAGACCCAACTTGATGCATGTACGTCTTGGTAGCTATAGTACAGATCTTGGTTCAAGTAATGAAAGGTTTAAGCACAAAACGATAATTTGAGGCTATTTTTTCATTCAAGACAAAATTAAGTATCTATGGTGTGTGACAATAGGGACTTTACAAAGCTTAATTTGTCCTTAAATATATATATTCCAGTAGCATAGACGAGCGACGTAATTGTAACCTCAACCTGAGGTATCTCCGATGAAAGCGTAGTACAAAAATTAAATTTTTTAAATATGGATTACAACATGCTGTACAATGATATTGAGACTAAAGGGTTTATGATATTGAGACTAAAGGGTTTAATGGACTTCTTTGCCTTAAAAGCAATTCATTTCAAAATTAAAAGAAACAGTTTTGTCGGGGAGCATGGGTAGACAGTTTACACGTACTTCAGGTGATTCGTTAAAGTCGAGGAGTGTTTCACTTTCAAATGTGTAAATCATATATGTCATAAAACACTATAAGAAAGTTTTTTGTTACAATCTGCAACATGTGTTCATTTATATGGCAGGGCGAAGTTAAAGCCAGTGGTAAATAGAACCTAATACCGTAATCCTCCTTGTCCATTTATTTAAATCGTATCAAAACGTATGATACACAATGTTCATTAATGTCATAATTTTGGCGATTTATTAAAACCATATTGGTACATAAAAGTTTAAGATTAGCATAAGTTAAGCAACAACCAGTATGAAGAACAACACCCTTTTTAAATGAGGCAAGACACCCTCTTCACACCTATTATAACCTTGAGAAAGACATTATGCAACTTAAGGCAAATGAGTTATGCAAAGTTCTTTCAACTCGTGTGTGAATACAACACATTCTTTGTCACTTTTACAAGACAATGGAGGCGAGCAAGTAGAGTAATTACAATATACAATAAAAAGGACATTAGTATAGAAAGCTTACTTCGGGTCAGCCCTTTGTTTGTTCGAATGAACTAGATAGATATCGCGCCGCGACTCCCTTTAATAAACCTTCGATCGTGTGTTTGTGTAAAAGTGTGAAAGACAGGCAACGGTCTTTAGTCGCTGTTGATATTGTTCGCAATTAATATTGAAGTATAACTCCTTCGCCTGCATGTAAACGTGTTACTTTTCCTCATGTTCTCTATATTTCTTTCAGGTGGTTGAGACAATGGGATGAGATCGATAAAAGTAAAGGTTAATCTAAACAATTAGATGCTTTTTTTGTGAAATGACTTATTAAGTGATGTGCATGTACGTAGCATGTTAAAATTCTTGAATTTCTAATTTGTTAAACCTTTCATACACGGCCTCATATGTATAACTCTCAGGCCTTCGATATTATTGTGTTACACGGGACTCCTGGAAACCTGAAGCACAGGTCTACGGAGTCTTGTTATCCTTCATGCAGTTTTATGGCTGGGATGAACACTGCGAAGTAGAAGCAGGCTTTACTTAGCTTTACTTAATGTACGACAGTTAAAACAAAACCAGTCTGCAAGGCTTGCTTTGATTTGGCGTTAACCTTACACTGGTTTTAAAAGAACAAATATGAATGTGTTCGAAGGATTAAATGCCGGCTTCGTTATATTTTAACTAAATGTGTTCACTTGCACAGTTACACATATAATATTTTTAAGTTGTCTGTCGTTCAGCACGCATTATAGGCGAGTAGCTAAATAGTGACGGTGATCAATCCAAGCTCAATCTTGGCAAGTATTGTTTACAAAATAGATCATGTTGAATAAACTTAATTACGCTTTTATAAATAATCAACACACGGTTCGGTTATTGTCACTTGAAAGCTTTCAATCAAAGACGTTCAATGAAATCACAAATCATTTGACGATTAAAAAATGGACATGTTCAAGGCGCAGTTTTTGTTTCAGCTAAAGGGACTTCAGGTTCAGGTAGAGGGTTTAGTTACGTGTTTCATCGGATGATAGCATCACGCCCTAGGTCTAAGCGAGTTGAATAGAAGCTTTTTATCCAAACATCCTATTCCTAACTACTGAGTTAGGACAAAGGTCTAGTAACATGCACTGTGCAATTACTATTAATGGATCAGATGCACACTTGATTGTTTTTCCTCTGGTGTCGCACGTGTGCATCCTTTCTTGAGTGATCTGAAACAAGTTGCTAAAGTACCATGTTTCTCACTGTAGCAAAATATGTTCGACATGGCGTTTCTGAACGGCAGCCGGAGACACAGTAATTGTATAGGCTTGCTTTAAGCTTGTTCGAGAGATAATAACAGTCGGGTTTAACAATAGATAGCAAGCTATAGTAAGACCCCCTCCTCTTTAACTGATGATTTACAGTTTTAATTGACCGTACTTTCGTATATTGTATGATCATACAGCCAGACTTCCCCCTGTTGCACGTTGTAGTTGGATTGTCATTGCGCCTATGTCAATGCACCTCATTTAATTTCGATATTATAATATAAGCATAATATAAGTAATATGTTATTTCCTTATTCCTCTTTCATTATCATTCATGTTTTATAAATACTTGAACGCTTGAATGCAGATATTTCAAATTAAAACGTAAGTACATAAATAAACTATACATTTATAAATTAATGCAATAGGAATTTTTTGAGACAGATTGATGCTGACGCTCATGCATTTCAACCAAACAAACAATTATTAGTTCAATTTTTGACTGCGGGAATNAAAATACCTTCATGGATGTGTACCAACAAATTTTATGCTGTATAATTTTCCTTTTCTTCAGAACTGGTAAAACTTTGTCAGGTGACATCAACCTCTTACAACCTCTAAGCTCTTGACCTTGGAATAGTACTTAGTTTCAGTTGCGTAGTTTAAGAGTATCATACCACCACCATGAAAGCATCAACAAGAAATACACTGAGACCAGAAGGCACTGTAAAGCCCCCTGTCACACTTATTTGGAATCTGAAGTAATCAAGCAGAATGAGCCATAATGAAGAATTTTCAAAATTCGCGCCACATTCGTTGGGTAATATCAGATTGACCTTAATTCCAGCAAGAATACCTCAGAATGCGCTTCGAACCCACCTGGAATGATTCGTGCACATTTCAGTTGTATTGTATTAGCTTTCAAATGCAGCTCGAATGCAGTTGGAACACATTAGGAATATCGTTAATGCTGTCTAAATATAGTGACAATATTTAGAATGCACTTCAAATGCCATACAAGTGTGGTTTCATTGCTGGTTGAATTCCGGCCTGCAAGCAAGATGCATTCGAGTTGCATTCCTGCTCATTGGAGGCACAATGTGGAACATTCTGACAAGATTTGAAGCGCCCTGCCATTTCGGTTCTCCCTCGAATGTGATCAAAATGTTTCGAATGCCGTTGGAATTTCATAAGAATCTTAAGAATGCGCTCATAGTGCAGTTAGAATACACTTGAATGCCATTCGATATTTTTCCACTTGGAATGCACTTCGAAAGTTTTGAGAATGAGCAAAACATTTTAACAGGACGCAAGAATGGACCCAAACATTTAGAATGCGCTTAGAATTTTTAGATACTTCAAATATCCAGGAATAAACAAGAAATTTTCATTTTCATTCCGACTACATTCTAGCTCATTCCGCCTCTAGTGTGACTAGTTTATAAATGAAGACAATAAGGATATTGTCACCGTTCACCCAAAACTCCTTATTTACTGCCTTACATACATTTTTTTCGGTGATAAATAAATTTTCAGTGTTCAGTGATTACATTAATTAACATTTACACATGTCATCTTACGGGTGACGGCATAATTGCAGTTTGGGGGTAAAAACTGAAAAATCGGTTTCTCAAATTTCTGTTTTACCTGAACACCCGTGATCACTATTTCAAAGCCAATTTAATGACACCATTTAGTACCCCAAAACCCTGCCAGCAATTTTTTTAAAGCCTTAGTTCAGATTTGATTGTTGATAAAGCAAAATAATACCTTTGTTTTTAGAAGATCTGTCATTACGGACTCATAACTCCATAACAAAAGCATTTAAACCAAATCGTTGGCATGGGATTGTTGCTCATGCCCTTGTGGTCCATTGGCCAATTTTCGTGATAAAATCTTGTTCAGGGATGAAGTTAAGCCCCATATGGATTGCTAACTAATCTCAAAAAAGAAAGCTGTTAAATAGATGATTAAAGCTTTGAGTTGCTTATGCTTATACATTGCAATGAAAAAATATAAACGCCGATATTTCATATTTTCAAGAGATTTTTCATTGTTTCAAAGCAGCACAAAGACAGATACATTATTGAATAATTAGATGCAGGAAAAAACTCGTTTTCGGTATCTGGATGGTAATAAAGAGTAACAATATCCTTAATGCTCTGCTACTGAGTGTTCTACCGTAAATATTCCCGTATGTAACTAACATTATGCTATTCTATATGTCAAAACTTTTCAGTTTCATGTGATCCTTGAACAATATTGACCATATTTGTTGTATTATTGTTTTTCCTAATTTAAAAGCCACAGTTGCATATAAACATTTGTATATATGTACACAGAAAAGGTGATTTTGGGGTGATTTTTACCTCAAAATGACCAAAAAATCCTCTTTTTAACCAAAAATGAAGTGACCCAACCGAAATGATGTATCTATTTGCGCTTATTGATCATGAAATCATATGGTTAGACATATAAAAGGCCATCTTTGAACTGATATTTAAAATTTTACATGAGAAATATGTGATTCGAGGGACGTTTGGTGGCCATTTTGAAAAATCACCTGATACCAATATCAGATGTAATTTTATATGAAAATACTTATTAGATTTGTATTCAGCAACCAAAATGGCCATAGAATCCACTTGTCTGAAATTAAATTTCCCAAAAAAGCTTTCATTTGCCCACCCCTACTAAATAGTGACGGTGATCATTCCAAGCTCAATCTTGGCAAGTATCGTTTACAAAATAGATCATGTTGAATAAACTTAATTACGCTTTAATAAATAATCAACACACGGTTCGGTTATTGTCACTTGAAAGCTTTCGATCAAAGACGTTCAATGAAATCACAAATCATTTGACGATTAAAAATGGACATGTTCAAGGGGCA